TAATTTAAAATGAGACAAATCTGCTATTATTTTAATCTCCAATCTGTTATTTATCAGTTTAGATAATTTTTTTAATGCTTCGCTAACTAGCGGAAGACACTAACCAGTTTTAAATTCCAGTTGCGCAGATGGGGCACGTTGTAACACTACGTTACAATGTGCTATTCTATGACATTAGCGATGTAATTTACACTATTTACTTTAATGTATTTTAATGAGAAACAACGAGAAACAGGTGAATAAAGACTGAGTTTAATGTTTAGAAATTAATATTTCAAGACATGTAACTCATTTTTGCTCGTTTATGTGGGCCGTCCCAAGCATGATTGCAATGTGTTCATTGTCAAACTCCAAAATCTGATTATTTTTAATTCTTAAAAAACGCCATTATTTTATTTGAATTATTATTATTATTTTATTTTATTAACAAAATATTTTAGTTTGTCTTGCATATTTTTTTTTACATGCGATCAGATAACATTTTAAGCTGTCATATGGTCATGTTACAACGTGCCCCTCAGATGTTACAATGTGTTCCACCTACGGGGCATGTTGTCACATTTCACTTCCATTTTTTGAGAGTAAATAAAGAAAAACATATACACTGTAATTATGAAACAAGGCAACATATTGTACTAGACAATTGTAAAATTACTGTGGATAAAAAAATATATATTCTGAACCCCATTTGGATTTAAAATTTGGCACCTGCTGCAAACAACGTCGAATTCATTATTTTCAATAACTTTTAAACTACTGGTTTATTTTACCACTTTACCAGATGCATTTAGCCTATGTATGATTTAGATCAATAGATAGACAGACAGACAGACAGACAGACAGACAGACAGACAGAGAGAGAGATAGATAGATAGATAGATAGATAGATAGATAGATAGATAGATAGATAGACAGACAGACAGACAGACAGACAGACAGACAGACAGACAGACAGACAGAGAGAGAGATAGACAGACAGACAGAGAGATAGATAGACAGACAGACAGACAGACAGACAGACAGACAGACAGACAGACAGACAGACTCAGTTGATCATAGCGTGCAATGCAGTACGTAATGCAGTAGCATATTAAATTAGAATTGGAATAATTTATTATTACATTTTAAAATGCCAATAACATATAATTTAAGACTAAATTAAAATGTAATAGTCAGTGGTGGAAATGGCCAAAAATTCACTGAGGGGACTCTGGCTTTGAAAGTGTTTAATTATAAAACCCTTTATAATCTATAATAACATTACACTTATTTCATATTTTCTCTAAACCGTCTTAGATATCAAAACAGGCACCCTGCAATGCTTATAATGTAAGCATAATTAATGGCCCCGTTTGTTTAATAATTAAAACAAAATGTATCTAGACGAGTGAAATGAAAGAATGATTTAATAAAAAATGATGAGTGATTAGTAATTGTCTCTAATTGGCCTGATTAGCTAAGACCTTTATAAAAACACTTCTTATTTAGTGGTACAGCATTGCATGATTTGTAGATTATATTTAATAGTTTACACTTTGCATAAACATTTGCAATTAGTTTGTAAAATGACTCTACGCTTGTGTTTCTTTTTAGGAGCACTTGTGCTCCTATTTAAAAAAATATATATAATTAGGAACACAATCAAAAAATTTAGGAGCACCTTCTGATCAATGACGGAAATGAGGCACTATTTAACTCATCTCAATTCATGGCAATCTCACAAATTTAATGAAGCTCTCCACTGCACACTGAATCTATTATTTACACCATGTCCACACTTTCTTTTCTTATAATGAGAGGATCTGAGTTTGAATAGGCCTAACTCAGCACTGAACAAAAACTGCAGTCTGCTTTCATGCGCTGTCCTGTGAGGAGCATTTCTTGGGGGGTCGAAACGTTTTGGCTTCACTTTTCAGGACTTGTGTGGCACACTTGAGCAGGACGCACTGATAGAGAAGCGTTTCCATTGGCTGCAGTCTGCAGGAATTATGGCCAAAAGCCAACATTGCGCAGCAAAACATAGACACATGTATCCTGTTATCATATATTTGTTATTGCTCAAGTCTAAATAAATCAATAACTACATATAGATAGATAGATAGATAGATAGATAGATAGATAGATAGATAGAAAACTATATATTTACTTCATAAAAACTACACTGCCTTGAAAGCATTTGTATTTCTTTTGGAAAATGCAAATAGTTGTCATCAATATCGCGCTTTCTTAGTTAGAATATGCTGCTTATTAAAACAGCCAGATTAAACATTAAAGGGGTCATATGATGCGATTAAATTTTTTCCTTTCTCTTTGGAGTGTTACAAGCTCTTGGTGCATAAAGAAGATCTGTAAAGTTACAAAGACTAAAGTCTCAAATCCAAAGAGATATTCTTTATAAAAGAGTTAACCACGCCTACCTAAAACAGCTTGTTCGAACACGCCCCACATGTCTACATCACTATGTGGGAAGATTTGCATAACGCCACCCAAATGTTCACGCAAAGAAAGAAGGTGTAACCTTTAAAGAGTTTTCCCTGTGCGTTGCAGGCTGACTCTCAAAACATACACAGCTGTCTTCTTGGACAGCATTTTAAGCGTTACCGTCGCGTTCTCAGCCTAGCCGCCCAAAAACGCTGTCAAGCAGCAGCACACAAGCTATTTGAGACACAACCCAGTATCTTCCCCTCTCCCGCGCCTCTGGCCCTCGTTAAACGCTGGAATGTTTGGATATGCTCGTCATATCCGTCATATTCTCCTTCAGGAAGTTAACAATTGAACACATTACACTCATACTTTATATCCCTGCGGCATCTGTCTGGTTCACATACTCTCTGCCGAAGATTATTCCCATAACTAATAATGAGAATGGAACTATCAGCGACAGAGTTCAGCACTTTGAGGCGAAGCTGAGTGTTGTCTGTCTGGTCGACGTCAAGTTTGGCGAGATGCTGCTCTACGGGCTTCTGCTACTTTCTCTTTCCTTTTGGACGTCTCATTCAGTGTTTAAAATACCTTTAAAAATATTTGCGGGGAAATTCAACGCGTCTGTGCAGCTGGACCTCAGGAGTTTGAGAAAGAGTCAAAGCGCAGTGGAGAGTGGACTTTCCCTGGCATCGGATCCAGCTGGGATTGTCGACTTTCTGGACATGATCAATAATTTAAAAGGAGACTCTGGTAGGGGATATTACATGCAGATGGTCATTGGGACTCCGGGACAAACTGTATGTAATATTTTCAACATTTTGATACCTATTTTCTATAATTTTTTTCCTTTTGTACATGAAGTGACATGTTTTGTAACGGTACATTTATTCATTTTGTAACTGTCTCCAGTTAATGTTACATCGGAACTTTTAAATAGGCCTATTTAAACTAGATTCTGCATTATACGGTGGCCTTACCAGTATCTGGACATTTAAGTCGCACGAACAAATGAATGTCATAGCATTAGATAAACATCAAATCTGCCATTATTTGTTTTATAGAGAGATGGCAGAAGCACGCACACACACAAAAAAAAAGTTTCACAACAACACGTGTGCATTTTAGATATACTGTTCTGTTTGTCAGACATTAGTGAAGCATGTCTATTGTGATGAACTACAACTTTAGTTACTCTGCAAGAAAGACCTGTGCGAATTTGAGAAGATATGACCACCAGTGTTGGGGAAAGTTACTTTTAAAAGTAATGCATTACAATATTGCGTTACTCCATAAAAAAGTAACTAATTACGTTACTTAGTTACTTTTTATGGAAAGTAATGTTACGTTACTTTTGCGTTACTTTTTAAATCTGGACAGGGCTTGCTTGTTTGTTTTTAAAATAAAAAAAGTTCTATTTTTGGCAAATATAAAAGCCTTTTCACACCAAAAGTGAAATTAATAAACCTCAGGCTGAAGGGAAAGCACATTTACGTCCGTACTGTAGAATGCAGAAGAAGAAATTTCAACACACTTCAGAAATAAAAAAAAGACACAAATGTTTGTCTAGAGTCATTTGTGCTTATTAGCACGGTTGAACTGGATCATCGAAGGACAGAAGCAAAGACATTGGTTAATAGAATGGGATTAAATACATAAAGGATATTTGTGTTGTTTAACATTTAATTATTGCAGGTTTGCGTCATGTTCTGAGTTGCATTATTTTTATTCATTTTGAGGAATACTGAATCTGTGTTTTTTTTTGTGAGTGAGATGAATTAATGCATATTCATATTTATTTTGAACTACAGTAACATCTTCTGATTTCTCTCAACATGAGGACAGGAGAGCTGTCAATCAATAAATTGGGGGAAAAAAGTAACTTGCGTTACTTATTTGAAAAAAGTAACTCAGATATTCTCATGTAAATTAAAAAGTAATGCGTTACTTTACTAGTTACTTGAAAAAAGTAATCTGATTACGTAACTCGCGTTACTTGTAATGCGTTACCCCCAACACTGGTAATGACCACTAATGACCTCTCATACGTCCAATAAAATTACTTTGGGACCAGTTAGAGTTAAGTTAGAAGAGTTAAGTTACTACAATTCTGAGAAAATGTGTGATATTTAATATAATGAAATGACATTTTGACATTCATAAGTGAATTCAAATTCATTTAGGGCCACTACATCTGTTTCAACAGTTTCATATGGTTTGCCCTTCACGGTCTTGTTTAAAACTCAGCTGATTTCTGATCAGCTGTTAAACATAAGAGTAGATGGGTACTGTAGGCTAAGGCTGATCTCAAAGCAGCGTTTCGGCTTTTAAGAGCATATCAGTTCAAGAAGCATGTGATGTGAAAGTCTCTATGAGATGCCTTGGGCGTAGGATGGAGACCAAAGAGCCCTTGATCTTTGTGCTGAGAATATGTAAGAGCCAACTCACATGGGTTCACATGACAGCGGGCCCCTCGATGAGAGCAGCTGACTCAGATTAGGGCCTGAAGCAGACTCGTACATACTTTATGGTCAGTTGGGATTGCTGTTATTAATTTATTTTTCTTATCAAAAACCCTGCAAAACTCCAAGAGTTGGATTACTTTTAGATGTATTTTTAAAAAAAACATGTGTATGTGTAGATGGTAGAACAGTTGAAGTGAATCTCACAATCTATTGATTGAACTGTACCGCACAGTCCCGTTTATTTCACAGAATAGTTAAAAATGCAGTCTAACCTGACTAACAAATTCTACCAAAATAATAGAAAAAATATTCAGCCTACACAGTCACTCCTTGTGACTGCTGGATAACAGCAGGGAAAGCACAATATTAGTGATACAACCGAGAGATTGTTGTTACATTCCTTATCTCTTCCTCTTTACTACTAGTTGTAGCATGAAATAAACATGAATGAACATCAGAAGGTATGTTGAAAGAAACAGTTCAACTTTGTATGAGTTACACAAGGCATATTTGTACATTCAAAACTATGAAGAGTACAGAATTACATTTACAATGGGCTTCTCATCTAATTTGAATAACTTCTGGTTTAAGCCTAGCCCACTTCCAGTTTTAGCTGAATGCAGATAAAAATAAGTTTGAGGTTGATACAGATAACAGTGATTATGATTCATAATAGCTTGTACCAATAATGAATTCATAAATATCATTAGGCCTACACTTATGCACAACATTATATTTTACAACCTGATCTAACCAATTCACCTTGTCTGCATGTTGGTTTCACTACATGATTTTAATTTGGCACACAAAAGTTTTTCAAATGTTAATCAAAGCAGTGAAGCAGTTTTGTTAAAATATTTTTAAAGAACTAATATAAAAGATTATGCCATACTACTAGAATTTCATTCTTTTAATTATGCTTTTTATTTTATCATGTTGTCAAGTCAGATGCATCACCTTGACTTTTCTCCAAAAATATTTTAAAAAATTTGTTTCAGTTGTTAAACTCCCTAATGCTAAAAATGAAAGGTTCAACCAAAGCAAACACCACTACCTAAATGCTGTATGCATTACATTTTTATTGTGAGGTAGAAGCATTTTAAACCCCTGCTATAACTGTAATTGCATTCCTCTCTTGAGAAAATCAAGCTTGAATGTTAGTGATCATAATTCATCATGTGGCGTGTCTCTCTGGAAATATTATAATGAAATCTGCAGTGTCATTGAACATCATGTTTATTCTCTCATCTCATCACAATTGAATGAGTAAGGTAAGCTGCGAGAGGCCAGGATCGTCCCGCATCCTCTGCGAATATGTAATTAAGGGTACTCATGTTAATTGAGGTGCTCTTTCTAAATGAGCCACTAATTGCGGAATCTGTCGTATGTGCGGAGGCGTCGGACTGGAGTGCCTCACATCTGCTAATTGGAACAAACAGGTAGCAGATGCGTTCCCAGTGACAGAGCGCCTGCCAATTAGCTAAGCCACCTCGATAGGGGTGATTAGAGCCCGCTTCACCAGTAGAGGAGCCATGGGAGCACAGTGAGGAGGAGTACAGGGAGAGACAAGCACAGGGAAGGGGCCAGATTCTTGGAACCAAAGGGGGTATGTGTGTGCCAGGGCCCTGTTGTGGACAGACTTCATGTTTACTGAAGTAGCCAGTAGTCATGGCTGGATTTTTCATACCAGACAGGAAGTGAGGAATGTGTCCTTAATGTATCCTCCAAACTTAGTAGTGGCAAGGCAAGCATTACTGTTACTGTTGGTTTTATGAGCAATTTTACATTGCTTAAAAAATAACTACAATAGCCATGATAATTTGTACTGTGATTTTTAATTGAATAACCACAAACACTTTCTGCCTTTCCCCACTGAAGACTGTGATTGTAGCCGTGTGGGAAACAGCGGTTGTACTTTGTGCTGTTTGTCTGAAAATTTGTACTTAATAATCGTCTTGAGTTAAAGCCGGCAAGGAATGAGGAATTATACACAATAACTGGCAACATGTTTGGAAAGGTCTGTAGTTAAACACAATAAGAAGATTATTCCTCTTGAATTTCTTTCACGCCCAGCAAAAACAAGATCTATGATTGGAATAAACACTATTCATTCTGTTTAAGCTTGGAATAACCATTCATTCTATTTCTGCAATACTTTACAAAGCAGACATGTTATTAACCACTGCATCAGTTTACTTATTAATGTGAATAACCATGATTTGTAATGTTTAACCTTTGTGAAAAAAGACGTGTGCTTAAATGTATTGAATGTGCGCTTGTAGCATACTTCAAATCTTAAAAGTATATAAAAAAAAAACTATTTGCAGATAATAAAATATTAATGAAATAAAAGGCAACTCAAATGTTTCTTAACAAGTACACTTTTGCACTTTCACAAGTAAAAGTTTACTTTAAAGTACAGTTTACATCATTAGGCTTTAATAAGCTTTTGTTGTCCTTTTAATGTGTTGATTAACATAAAGCACATGTAAAGTACTTCATTATATTTAACTGTCGTGTGTTATTTGATATTACATTTAAAGTTAAAATAGGCTATTTTAAATGTCCTAACTTTACAAATGTATTACAAATATATTCAAATACATGGCATACAAGTTTCAATTGACCTTAAAATATGTTTTAATTTACCATAAATTATCATCAGTATACTTTTGGCAGTACACTTTATCCATTTCAAAGACAATATAAGTAATTCTGTAAATAATGTAATAATTTGAGTCAAAAAACTAAAATAATTAAGTTCAACTAATTGCATTTAATATCAATGTAAACTATAATAAATTACATGGAATTAAGGGTCCGAAAACATTGCATTTAGTATATTAAGTACAGCATTTCCATTAAAAGTATGCTAAAATATACTTCACGGAAAGAGTTTGCCTTCTCCTGTATAAATAGCTGATCATTATCATTAGTGACGTGTGGATAATGTGCAAATTTCCTGTATGCATAACTGGATTACCTGTTGCATTTGCTATTACAACAGAGCACTAGGTACTGTATATGGGATACAGTATGTGGAATGCATTGTGCTTGACCTTACACATCCTTGTAATGATGAACAAATGGATATAATATAAACCATTATTTCCTTTTTGACTCATTATTTATGATTATGAAGAGTTACATTTCTATAGATATTTCATGCAAATTAAGTAGAATTAAAAATCTTTCTCACTTTTTCTCCTCCTGAAAAGAGATATAAAATCATTACTTAATACATTCGAAAAAATGCTGGGTTAAATATAACCCAGCGCTGGGTTAAAAAGGGACAAACCCAGCTATTGGGTTGTTTTAACTCAAAACAACCAAATAGCTGGGTTTGTCCCTTTTTAACCCAGCGCTGCACTGTAAAAAAAACCCCCGTAAAATTTACGGTAAAAAAAACGGCAGCTGTGGTTGCCGGATTTTTACCGTAAAAAATACGGTAGCAACGTTTTAGGTTTTACGGTTTTAACTTAAATTTACAGTTAAATACCGTAATTTCATTAACTGATGTAATGTTAATATACCAACCTACTGAAGTACTGAAATCTGTTTTGTACCTTTGTAATACACTAATAACCACCAAATGCAGGTGGTGATGAGAAAGTCACATGATGAACCAAAGCCCATCACAAGCAGCTTTTAAATAATAACATATATAGAAGGTGCACAGTGTCATTCACACAAACACTAAACACCATTATGGTAACACACATGAAACTGAAATAATGCAATAAACATTAATTTAACAACATTAGGTGTAACACACAACCCTAATATACAAAACTGATAAGAAAAAACTAAGAAGAAACATAGTTATTTCAACAAAACAACATCAAATTTGAAATGTAACGCAGGGAATTCTGGGAATGTCAATTTACGGTTATTCACTGTAAATTATACGGTATTTTTCACTGCCAAAAACAGTATACTACCGTAAAATTTATGTCCAATACATGTAATGTCCAATACAGTTTTTCACCGTATATAGTAGGGGAATTTACCGTTAACCATTTAACATGTTTTTACTGTAGCATTTTTACAGTCTTTTACCGTTAAATTCACGGTCATTTTTTACAGTGTGGGTTATATTTAACCCAGCATTTTTTTACGTGTAACAACTCAAGATTTTCCATAATGTTTAATTCAAACACAGCATTAAAATGCATTCCTGGGTTTAAGAGTTTAAGTGTTTTTAAATGAAGCTGTTAGGATCAGTGCAGTGGAGCAGATCTGTGTGTATATTATGATGGCGTTAACGATGAGGAATGCCCATAATGGCCTCTTTGGCAAATGGGTGAGATGGCACAGCTCTGTTATCTCATTAGTTCCCCCTCGTTGAACCAGCGCTCCAACAACATTATTCCAACTGCCGTGACCACCTCGCAAGCGCCTGGCAAACAGAAACATATGTGTGGAGACAGAGGCTAAATTGGAGGGCTCTGTGCCAGCAGGGTTTGATGGTATTTAGGTGGTTGACATTTAGGTATAAAAATATTATAAATAAACTCAAACAAATACCATATAGTTGTTTGCACATACTTTTGGGTGCTTCTTTCAGAAAATTTCTGATTTTCAATTTGTATTTTAACCTGAGCTAAGATACATGGGTTTTGATGTTGTATACCTTTTTATTTAGATAGGATAGTAGGTCGACAGGAAGCGAAGTGTGTGTGTGTGTGCGTGCTTGCATGATAATACTTTGTCAAATGTTTTGTTTGTTGCTTAGATAGAAGACATTCTAATATAATGTTGTAACAAAGTTCATAAGTCGGGAAGAAGGAGGCGGGAACCGGCGAACACTCAAAGAAACTTTAATAATAAAATAAACACAAAATAGCGCGACAGCCCCTCGCGGACGACTGCCGCGCACAAACAAAACCAAAACACAAAATAAAATCCAGGCCTGGTCCTCTCTCGTCTTTCCCTGTCATCACTCCTCCTTTGTATCCTCCCGGAGCTCCTCCGTGAGACTCGAGACCGGTGAGTGGCGCAGGTGTCGCGCATTCGCAATTACTCCACCGGCCTCACTCCGTTCCCACGGCTCTCGGCCCCGCCCCTCTCGTCACATATCCCCATCGCCCCTCGCAGGCCGGGGGCAGGGCCGTAGCTAGAGGATTCGGGGCCCCCTGAAAAAATATTGATGTGGGCCCCCACACCCCTCCACTAATATAATTTATTGTACAATATATGAGCATGGAGGCCCACATGTAATCTAATAGGGGTTTCTTAAAATATAACAAAACAGATAACAAATAAATGTAAATAAAGGTTTTTACTGAAGATCAGTTAAAGCAAAATATTCCTCCACCGGCCTCGCTCCGTTCCCACGGCTCTCGACCCCGCCCCTCTCGTCACAAATGTATTATTATTATTACTACTATTATTGTTGTTGTTATTATACGTTTAGTCATTTTTCGGATATATTGCACTTTATTTATTTATTTACTCTGTGACATTAGTTTATTTCTTTCTTTATTCAAATTCAAAATCAAATTAATCGCATGATATACTAATTAATCAAATTAATCATAATTGATCACTTATATCATTATTTGCTGAGTAAAACTATAATTAAAGTAATTCCAAGGCATTTATGTGACATTTAAAAACTTTGTGGCATATAAAAAGTGGCTTTAGAAGTGCATGTATTGTTTGTTTTATTTCCATATAGTTGAACATACACAATATGGCCAAAACTATGAGGAAACACATTTTTAATTAATGGATTTTATTTCAGTTACTTCTGTGAAGTCAGTTTTTAATGCTACAACATAAAATGACATTCTAGGGATCTGGGTGCTTTCAACTGTATTGCAGCAGCTTGGAAAGGGCGTTTTTCTGTTCCACCTCTGTGCACATGAGTCTGGAAGAACCTGACTGGCCTGCAAAAAAAGCATTGACCTGATCCCCATTTAATACATTCAGGATCAATTGAAATGGGACCAAATCACAGCATGTTTTAAAATCTAGTGAAAGACCTTCCCAGAAGACTATAAGCTGTTAATAAGCAGTGGTTCTCAAACCTGTCCTGGAGTACCCCCAGCCCTGCACATTTTGCATGTCTCCCTCATCTATCACACCTGATTCAACTCATCAGCTCATTAGTGGAGATGGCAAGACCTGGAGTGGGTGTGTCAGATATAGGGAGACATGTGCAGTGCTTCTGGGGGTGCTAGGATGTGACGTAAACGTACTTACAGGTGCATCTCAATGAATTAGAATGTTGTGGAAAAGTTCATTTATTTCAGTAATTCAACTCAAATTGTGAAACTTGTGTATTAAATAAACTCAATGCACACAGACTGAAGTAGTTTAAGTCTTTGGTTCTTTTAATTGTGATGATTTTAGCTCACATTTAACAAAAACCCACCAATTCACTATCTCAACAAATTAGAATACTTCATAAGACCAATAAAAAAAATGGTTGGCCTTCTGGAAAGTATGTTCATTTACTGTACTCAATACTTGGTAGGGGCTCCTTTTGCTTTAATTACTGCCTCAATTCGGCGTGGCATGGAGGTGATCAGTTTGTGGCACTGCTGAGGTGGTATGGAAGCCCAGGTTTCTTTGACAGTGGTCTTCAGCTCATCTGCATTTTTTGGTCTCTTGTTTCTCATTTTCCTCTTGACAATACCGCATAGATTCTCTATGGGGTTCAGGTCTGGTGAGTTTTCTGGCCAGTCAAGCACACCAACACCATGGTCATTTAACCAACTTTTGGTGCTTTTGGCTGTGTGGGCAGGTGCCAAATCCTGCTGGAAAATGAAATCAGCATCTTCAAAAAGCTGGTCAGCAGAAGGGAGCATGAAGTGCTGCAAAATTTATGGGTAAACGGGTGCAGTGACGTTGGTTTTCAAAAAACACAATGGACCAACACCAGCAGATGACATTGCACCCCAAATCATCACCGATTGTGGAAACTTAACACTGGACTTCAAGCAACTTGGGCTATGAGCTTCTCCACCCTTCCTCTAGACTCTAGGACCTTGGTTTCCAAATGAAATACAAAACTTGCTCTCATCTGAAAAGAGGACTTTGGACCACTGGGTAGCAGTCCAGTTCTTCTTCTCCTTAGCCCAGGTAAGACGCCTCTGTTGTCTGTGGTTCAGGAGTGGCTTAACAAGAGGAATACGACAACTGTAGCCAAATTCCTTGACACGTCTGTGTGTGGTGGCTCTTGATGCCTTGACCCCAGCTTCAGTCTATTCCTTGTGAAGTTCACTCAAATTCTTGAATCGATTTTGCTTGACAATCCTCATAAGGCTGCGGTTCTCTTGGTTGGTTGTGCATCTTTTTCTTCCTCAATTTTTCCTTCCACTCAACTTTCTGTTAACATGCTTGGATACAGCACTCTGTGAACAGCCAGCTTCTTTGGCAATGAATGTTTGTGGCTTACCCTCCATGTGAAGGGTGTCAATGATTGTCTTCTGGACAACTGTCAGATCAGCAGTCTTCCCCATGATTGTGTAGCCTAGTGAACCAAACTGAGAGACCATTTTGAAGGCTCAGGAAACCTTTGCAGGTGTTTTAAGTTGATTAGCTGATTGGCATGTCACCATATTGTAATTTGTTGAGATAGTGAATTGGTGGGTTTTTGTTAAATGTGAATTTATTTAATACACGAGTTTCACAATTTGAGTTGAATTACTGAAATAAATGAACTTTTCCACTACATTCTAATTTATTGAGATGCACCTGTACATGGAGATAACTCAACCTACAGGAATTACATTGCTAATGTGTAACCAAAAAATGTAGCTCCGCCTAATAAAGCAGTGCAAATAATTTTGACAATTGGTACAGGAGATAGACATTTCTGCTTTTAAATTTCCAGCATTTGCCCTTTTGACTTCCATTAAAATTACATAACTGTAAATGTTATTTATTTATTTATTGTAGCTGAGGGTGTTGTGTATTTTCTGTAGTAATCAACAGCTGTGCTTTCACAGATGATCATAAGCTGTATTTAATGCAGAGTATTCCTCTGAAACTATTTCCAACTAATTAATAAAAAATGATCCACCATTTAGTCATATGTTAATACATAAGGTAATGACATCATTGTTTTCTGTCTTTGCAGTTGAACATCCTGGTTGATACTGGAAGCAGCAACTTTGCTGTAGCTGCAGCAGCACATCCCTACATCACACACTACTATAACAGAGCACTGTAAGATCACATCCCTACATTACACACACTACTATAACAGTGCACTGTAAGATCACATGCCTGCATTACATTACACACACTACTATAACAGAGCACTGTAAGATCACATCACTACATTACACACACTACTATAACAGAGCACTGTAAGATCACATCACTACATTACACACACTACTATAACAGTGCACTGTAAGATCACATCCCTGCATCACTCACTACTATAACAGAGCACTGTAAGATCACACCCCTGCATCACACACTACTATAACAGAGCACTGTAAGATCACATCACTACATTACACACACTACTATAACAGTGCACTGTAAGATCACATCCCTGGATTACACACCACTATAACAGAGCACTGTAAGATCACATCCCTGCATCACTCACTACTATAACAGAGCACTGTAAGATCACTTTCCTGCATCACACACTACTATAACAGAGCACTGTAAGATCACTTTCCTGCATCACACACTACTATAACAGAGCACTGTAAGATCACTTTCCTGCATCACACACTACTATAACAGAGCACTGTAAGATCACTTTCCTGCATCACACACTACTATAACAGAGCACTGTAAGATCACTTTCCTGCATCACACACTACTATAACAGAGCACTGTAAGATCACTTTCCTGCATCACACACTACTATAACAGAGCACTGTAAGATCACTTTCCTGCATCACACACTACTATAACAGAGCACTGTAAGATCACTTTCCTGCATCACACACTACTATAACAGAGCACTGTAAGATCACTTTCCTGCATCACACACTACTATAACAGAGCACTGTAAGATCACTTTCCTGCATCACACACTACTATAACAGAGCACTGTAAGATCACTTTCCTGCATCACACACTACTATAACAGAGCACTGTAAGATCACTTTCCTGCATCACACACTACTATAACAGAGCACTGTAAGATCACTTTCCTGCATCACACACTACTATAACAGAGCACTGTAAGATCACTTTCCTGCATCACACACTACTATAACAGAGCACTGTAAGATCACTTTCCTGCATCACACACTACTATAACAGAGCACTGTAAGATCACTTTCCTGCATCACACACTACTATAACAGAGCACTGTAAGATCACTTTCCTGCATCACACACTACTATAACAGAGCACTGTAAGATCACTTTCCTGCATCACACACTACTATAACAGAGCACTGTAAGATCACTTTCCTGCATCACACACTACTATAACAGAGCACTGTAAGATCACATCCCTACATTACACGCACTACTATAACAGTGCACTGTAAGATCACATCCCTGCATTACACACCACTATAACAGAGCACTGTAAGATCACATCCCTGCATTACATTACACACACTACTATAACAGAGCACTGTAAGATCACATTCCTGCATCACGCACTACTATAACAGAGCACTGTAAGATCACATCCCTACATTACATCTTTAGTTACATCATATACTACTGTAACAGAGCATTGTAAGACAAAATCCTTAAATCCCACCACTATAACAAAGCATTGTAAGATCACATTCTTACATCACATTCTACTACAACAGAGCACTCGAACATCAAAACACACATTGCCACTACATCACATTCTTTTATAACAGAGCATCCAGGAAAAAAAATTACATTCATTATATTCCATTTTTTTTAATGTGTGTCAGTGAGTGATGTTTGTAAGTTCAGCAGTGTATTAGTGATGAATCAATGTCATGATGATTTGCTCAGTTCCAGTACATATCAGAGCTCCAGCAGGGGAGTTGCAGTAAAATACACACAGGGAGAATGGGAGGGGGAACTGGGAACTGACCGCATCACCATTCCTCAAGGGCCCAGTGGTACAGTAACTATCAACATAGCCGCAATCCTCACGTCAGAAGGCTTCTTTCTGCCTGGAATCAACTGGCAGGGAATTCTTGGATTTGCATATCCTCTACTAGCTCGGGTAAGTGACATGTTACATAAGTGTGTTATTGAGAAAAGGTGTGTTATTTTAGAAATGGGTGCTACTGTTTGATTTAGCTCCGCTATAGCTGTCACGTGTTAAATTTTGGTGTCACAAAGGTGTGGCTTAGATCCTCAAACAGCAGTGCTATTATCTTCAAATGTCAATGTACATTTGGTATTACTAAGAGCCATGTTTCAGAAAGTAATGGATAATGTATTATGTACCATGGTAAATGATTAGTGCCATGGTACATTTCTAATATATTACTGTACGATGGTATCCGACTTTTTTAAACATTTATGAAAGCATATTTTTCCTCACTATCTGCTCCTTGTCTTTTCTTTGTCTTATCGTTTTTGTCAATTAATATACAATAAATACTCAATACAAAAATTTATTTGTACTATGTTTAGGCGTTAGTATTATATTATTTGTATATACATATTTAAAAATTGGTTTCAATTTCCTTAAGATGAATTTTATATTTTTCTCTTCTCAGCCTGACCCATCAGTGGAGCCCTTCTTCAACTCTGTTGTGAGACAGACCGGCATTCCAGATGTGTTTTCTCTCCAGATGTGTGGAGCAGGAGTCTCTGCCAGCACTACAGCTGACCCGGCAGGCGGCAGCCTGGTGTGTACCAAACCAGAAGTAGTCTTACAAAAATATACAATCCAAATTAGTTAAAAATTAATCCAACTGCTATAGTGGGTACACCAATCTGATCACATGAAAACTATTAAATATGTATTATATACAGGTCCTCTAACATATGTAGGTAATACTTTTCATGGCAGATGTTTGAAAAAGTTATAACATTTTGTTTATAATCAGTTGTCAAGCTTAGTGCCAAAAATTAAGTATTTGTATTAATATTAATTCAGTCAAAAAACATTTTATTTGAAAAGTCAATTTAAATCATTATATCTAAAAAATAAAAAGTGTTAACATGCCTTTGTTCAGTTAAAAAAATCCAGAAAACTTCTATGGCACTTACTTTTAGTTTGTTTACATGGTGTTTAGGTGGAGGTTTATTAGAAACAGAATATTATAGGTTTCACAATATTAGACTGAATAAATCATGTATTCAAACAATGGTGCAACAGACTCGGTCTATCTCGTTATCACATTGTTTAAATAATATAATCTTGTACCATATCGATATAAAAATACAAAGAGAAAGAAAATATATTCCATTATTAACAACATGAAGTGGATTAAACATTACATTACGTCAACATTGTTTTTTAAATCGAGAGTTTAATGAAAAGCTAATAAGTAATTAAATAATAAATAAAAAGAAAATTAAAATAAATAACATAAATCGAAACTAAAACACTTATTAAAAACATGAAAGATGTTATTTGTTTACCTGCATGTCATATGACCATTAACCAGTGTTAGAGAACTGGGAACATGCAAATGTGATACTTAATTATTAAAATATTCATTTTAAAATATGAGGGGTACTTCAAGTAAATATATTAGGTGAAAGAGGTTCAGATGACAAAAAAGTTTAAGAATGACTGCATTACATGTAAATAAGGAATCATGTAAATTGTGCATTTTAATGTGTTTGAAAGACAAAAGCTTTCCACACACACACACACACACAGACAGTAATTGTAGGATCTATTTCAGTTCTTAAATCGCATTTAAAAACAAAACCAAGACAAGGTATATGAATGGCTATTGTCCATAATTTGAAGCAAAGTGGCTAGACCCATAGTCTACAAAATCTGAGACTCTGATCAAAATTGGCCCCTGGTGAAAGATTTGAGACGGGAGTCTCATGTTATTAACAGGTAAACTGGAGTTTAACCATAGGAGTTGCTGCCGTAGGTAGCGTTCAGGCTTCCAGCTTTCATAAATCAGATCAGTTAACACCTCTCAAGGACAGATGAGATTGGGTTTCTCAGCACTACTCAAGAAACATAATAGCTCAGCGCGTCTCTGCGTCTCACACCTCCGCTGCCTCCTATAGGACGGCGTGTCTCGTTAGTGAGAAGCTAATTAAGTTAAAGAGAGCCCCCTGCTGCTGGCACATTCTGTTAGCAATACAGGAGAGCTGGAAGAAGAGGTGGCCACATGTCCCGCAGAGAGGAGCAGATGGGAAGCACGGTGGGGAGGGGTGTGTCCCGTGTCCACCACTGAACAATGTCCAAAGCCTTTTGGAAATATTTGACTAGCCTCTTAATTGGATGCTATTTGCAGAAGTCGGAAGCTCCAGAAAGTTCACTTAATTTTTATTTGTTATTATTTTTATTTATTTTTGCTTGATCTGATATTCTTAGACATAAGCTAAAGAAAAATAGATAGATGAGCCACCGTATTGTAAGTTTAAAAAATCTTGATTAATGATTAAATTAATAATAAAAATATATTTTTAATTTTCAAATTTTTTATACAAAGAATTACGACTTTTATTTTCGATTAGGACGACAGCAATAAAACGGATAAACATTAAATACAGCTAATAAAAGTATAAAACCGTGTTTATCTAGATGAATCAGTCAATCAATCAATCAGTTTCATAAGATTGTGAAATAGATTTATTATTTAAAGCAAGACACTACAGACAAAAACAGGGGTCACTGACACTGGTCAATTTTGAGATTTTGGTACATTATGCTTCCAAAACTTGTCGTCTTTCAGACTAGTAGAAATGTCTAAATATACCTAAATATCAAAAATCCCCTTAGTGAAGGGAAGGGGAAAAAAACGCTTTAATGTCAACAAATAAATTTTTTTTTATTATTCATTGTTCAAATTTCTCAAATGTATGCAAACATGTGCATATTTTTTTATAATACCTCATTTGCATATTCCAACATAACATTTCAGAAAACTTGTAATATAAAATAACTTATCGTACTGTGACTAATTGACAGGATACTATTAGTTAAAATTGTTAACCTGTATCGTCTTGCCTTAATTTAAACTCATTGCTAATATCTTGGAAGATTTTTAATATATGCAAAGGAAAGATATGCATCAGAATACATGCTTTGATGTCTTTGTGTTGCGTTTCAGATCATGGGAGGAGTTGAGCCCACCTTGTACCAGGGTTCAGTTTGGTACACACCAGTCCTGGAAGAATGGTACTATCAAGTGGAAGTCTTGAAGCTTGAAGTTGGAACCCAAAATTTAAACCTAGACTGCAAAGAGGTACATGACACAGCCCAGCTCAAAAAATATGCGCTTTTCCATTTATTATGAATAAAGCCAGTTCAACCAGAAAATCTAGTCCATCCTTTTAGATAGTGATGGAGTTAAAAACACTATGATTATTTGACCTTGTGAGGACAGTAAAGAGTCGTGACTGGAATTGCTCCAAGAGTGAGCTGAAATCGTACCTTCAAAGGCTGCCAGTGGAGTAATTCCAGCATTCAATAAGATATATACGGCAGAGAATATCACTACTAAGAATGCAGTGATCTTGTTTATGAAATCCTGAGAGGAGCAGAGCAGGTATTGCTTTTTGTTTGATGGAGGCCTTGACTGATCTTTCTCTCCCTTTGGTCGTTTCGTTCAGTACAACTCAGATAAAGCCATTGTGGATAGTGGGACGACTTTACTGCGACTTCCTGGAAATGTGTTTAGTGCTGTGGTGGAGGCCATTATGCAGACATCACTGGTATGACCTTCCATTTTGGCAAACCACTTGCCTCGCACAGGCAATCTTGTGCATGTTTAAGGGCCTCAGTCTTCAAAATGACTCCTTAGTTATTATTGATTGTGTGCAACCCTGTTCTCTCCTGCTCTGCCAGATTGAGGATTTCTCGACGGGATTTTTTGATGGCACCAAGCTTGCATGTTGGATGAGAGGCGAATCACCATGGAGGCTTTTTCCGAAAATCTCAATCTACCTCAGAGCAACGAACACCAGCCAGTCCTTTCGCATCACCATTCTTCCACAGGTTAGGACTAAAGCCCAAAGTATACTTCGCATATAGTGCATTTTGTCACCAGAATAATATGCACGTCCTGTACGTGCACTGCCTGATTTTTGTAACCTTACTTTGTAAATGCAGGTTGCATATGCGCATTACATTTTTGCAATAATCAGTTGTTCCACAAGTTGGCAGCACTGTTGTTATTTCACAGTAGAAAACCAACCTAAAGAGTCAGAACAACAACAAAATACTGGAGACTTTAACAACAACAGACGTCTGAAAGGCTACGCATACGTACATGCGTAAAAAACGATATGTTGTGCTTTAACGGCCCTAGTATAGTTTGGTAGTAGTTTATTATTAACAAAAAATAAAAAAAGAGTTTTGTTAATTGAAGTTACTAAAATTAAAATTGAAATTTCAGCCACGGTAATATTTCTTTATTTTTTTTATATTTAGTTGAAGTAGTAAATTAGACCAAACTAAAACTAGAACTGAAATAAAAATAAACCTAAATTAAACTTGCTTTTGAAGCAGGTTTGGTTTTGGCATATTTGTCATTAATTGTCTCTTTCGGGATTTAAGAAATTGTAGCTCTCTTTTGAACAGTTTATACATTTTCACTATATTGCACTCTATTGTACATAGGCTCTAAATTAATAATATACTTTGTGCTTTTTGATGTGATGTTACACAATTTCTTAAAATGATCCGAAACCAGGATTGTACGTACTTGCTTTTTCCCTGACACCAAATTTTGTCTCCGCAGCTGTACGTCCAGCCAGTCACCAGTATTGACGGCACATTGGACTGTTTCCGTTTCGGAATCTCCCCTTCAGCAAACGGCCTGGTCATTGGAGCCACTGTGATGGAGGGCTTCTACGTCATCTTTGACCGTGCACAAAAGAGGGTGGGCTTTGCCGTTAGCACTTGTGCAGGTAGGTGGGTTCAAGGGTGTGTAGATTAATATTTCACATTCTAATTTTGAAATAGTTTCTGACAGAAATGGCTACCACAGTACAACAGTGTATACGTCAAGTTATAGCATGGTCTGTATGAATACTTGATTCTGATTGGCTGGCAGGTATACATTAAAACCGTTTAATGCACAGGTAGTTCCAAGTCATTTTAATCACCGTTCTAATGTGCTGCCACAAACTTGTCAACGCTTCCCTGCAAATTTTATTAATAAAATGGCCAAGACACTAGATCGCTACATTATATTCCTCAGCAATGAGGTGAAAAATCGCTGTTTTTGACACGGCTTCAAATTGTTTGACACACAGCTTCATTGTTTGTAGAGAGACGCGCAGACACCGGTAACACACACACAACTGTCATCTCTCTCTCAGTCGATAATTCATTCAAAGACTATAATTCATTCAATTAAATGTGATATTACCGCACTAAGTCTGATTTGAAGCGGGCAGATTGCTAGTGCTAACGAGCTTTAACCGTCATTTTTACCCTTACCCTTCCCTTTAAATATTGCGCTATGAACATCATTAACAGGTTTAACTTGTCAATGCTGGCAAATGACCAAGGTATAAACGGGATAATGCATGGCTAGCTGTGCATTAAATGATTTTAATGCACTTCACGGAGACGCACTCCGCTTCGCATCGGGTGGTTCTTGGCCTCCACATTGTGCATTAAAATCATGTAATGCACAGCTAGCCGTGCATTATCCCTTACATATGTCAGTTCAACTGTACAAAGTACAGTTCAAGATAGAGCCTAATTATTGAACTATTTCTAATTTAACATTAGTCACGACAACATGCATTGTCCTTATATATTTACTTAAATATACTTATAACCAGTGGTGGATGAATTACAAAAATCAAGTACTACAGTAAATACACTATCAAAATGTTTTACTTTATACTACACACTAACTTAAAGACATTAACAAAACATTGAACAATATACTAAAATGTCAGTTTAGGTTATTGCTAATTCAAGTGTGCAAACAAGTGTGTAAAAATATGCTTATATGGTATTAAAAAAAATACTACGTACTGATGACACATAGGGCAAAATATGGTGGCTGCACCTTTTAAGAGATAACATACTGGCTTTTTATAGGCATGGGCAATATATATATATTTTTTTTTTTACCTAAAATAGCCTAACCCATACACACTGTGACCAACGAATGCATCCATATTCAAGCATTTCAGTGGGCTTAAAGGGGCTTCATATGGGCTCTATTTACAGCAGATGTAGTTCACAAATAACTCACAGTCATGACCTAAATATGATTTTCATTTACAATAATCAACTAAAATTTGGAGAATGAACGAATGAATGAATGAATGAACGGGTTTATTACAAAGAATTGTTCTTGCATCCCAGAGGGAGTGGTGATTTCTTCCTTTCAAAATAACGAGGAACAACATTTTTTATGAAATGTAGTGGCGTAAAAACTTTGAACTATGCTTTGGAATGTAATGAAGTTTACCAAAATAAAAGCACTCTAAGAAAGTAGAGGTACTTGAAAAATGTGCTTAATGTGCTTAGTAAAAAAAAATACTTTGTTTCTGTCCACTGTTGCTTAATTTTGCCCTTGGGTAATTTAAGTTTGAGAGGTCTGGGATCTAAGTAAATACCTCTTCTGTCTTTCCAACAGAAAACGGTGGTGTGCCATTTGCAGAGATCGCCGGGCCGTTCCTAGCTGAAGGAGTAGCGTCAGACTGCACGAGTGGCGTGCCTCTCAGGGAACCGGTGATGTGGGTGATCGCGTACGCTCTGATGGGCATATGTGCCTTGGTTTTGATCGTACTCCTCATCTTGCTCATACTGCCTTGCCGACGGCACAGAGACGGCGAGATTACAGACGAATCCTCGCTGGTGCGGCATCGCATCAAGTGACGTCAGGCATCAACTGAAGACGAGGAGGCACCAACTCAGCAAAACAGGGCTGAAGGAAATCAGAGCAGGTAACGCACTGAGCTCCGGGTGAGATTACATACATTCCTGTTTGTCTGGGTGGAAGATGCTGGGATTTGGACATTTGTTGACGCTTGTGGACTTTTACAGTTGACAGAACTTTTCAAGGAAGAGGATAAAACTACTGAAGGATGAAGGAATCATGATTATACATGCGATTCTTATATAAAAAAAAAACGAAATCATAAATAAAAGTGCCCTAATATGAGTATCAAGATGGCATTGGAGTAAATGGTGATGTAGATGCTCCAGTGTTTCTCCCAAGTATGCTGCTCTTTTTATTCTTAGTCTTCAATATAATTGAGTTAATAAAACTACTGGAAATCAGCAATGGTCTCTCAGGGGCCTAAATGAGGTTCATGGTTCAATGAAGTAAGTTTATTTACTGTTATGATCTATAGGTTGAGGTTTCCTTTTAGATGTCCCTTTCAGCAGTGCATTGAAAGGAATAATTCAGCCAAAAAAATTAAATTTGTCATAAAATTGTTGTTCCAAACCTGTAAATTGAACATGTTTGACAGAGCGTGATGCTGCTCTTGCTTATAGAGTACAATGAAAGCAATGGGAAGGGATGCTGTTGAGGTCAAATATGCTATTGAATGGCTTCAGAAAACTTGTAATATAGCACAGACACTGTATGGACTACGTTTATGATCTTCTTCATAAAGCAGTTTTCTGCTGTGACCTGTATTTAGGAACTTTCGCCAAAAATCAACAACGCACAACAAAATAATAAACCTAGTTTCACATTTCACTGGGCAAAGACGGCTGGAGAGAACCTTGTTCCTTTCATTTAAAGTTCACTCCCAATGTCTGTATGCCACATTTGAGTGAATTCATTGGGTTTTATTCACTATGCATGCGTACGAGCAAATCTGTGCATGAAATCCGCATACAAACAAATCATGATTCACCAAAAAATGTGAGGTTTCTCTGAAAAGCAATGCGGGCATATACAGTATGTACAGTTGGCTAATGAGAGGTCTGTAAACTGGTTTTGAGGACTGCACACTTGACATTGCTTAAGGATCTGCGAGAGTGTGTCTGTAAAGAGAGGCATATGTTTAATGAAAAGGAAAGGCCATTATATAGAGATGGTTTGGGCGTGGTTTATTCAAATGACTAACTGTATGCACGCGCAGCCGCTCATTTTTAATACTCCAAATCCACTAACATTAGAAAAAAGATGGTAAGAACACATTTGTGTGCATGTGTTGTGAATTAAGTGGAAAGTTTTCGTGAGAAGTTCAAATGTGCATATAAATACGCAATTATTAGTGAATGGGACCCATTGTTTCTTTCCTTCATGTTTGGTAGCCTTTTATATGTGCTTGTGCGATTGGTACAATGTCATTCTTATAACATCAGATCAGATCATAATCATGAAGATTTAAAAAGTTAAGGAAACTCTTCTCTGTTTTTAAGGGTGTGTGCGCCGCCTTGTGTAAATTACATTTAGCCCTAGATAAGATTTGACCCCTCAGATCAGACTGAAGATTTTTCTGTTGGTTTTTAAAGAAGACTTGAAAAAGAGCGAGGAGAGAATCTTTAGCCAATACTCCTGCACATTTGCAGTTTGCTTTTGAATTCCCAGGTATGCATCTTTGACCTGATTTTATGCTTTTATGTTTTATTTGTGTGATTGATTTTGGATTGATCTTTTATTTCTTAATGCTTTAATTTACATGTGTAGCCCTACCTGGTGAATAAACTGTCGAACTTGATTTGTTCTGGAATCGTGACTCAATTATTTCTAGTAGATTCTAAGGCTTTTCACACTTGAAATATTTCAAAATATAAAATATTTCTAAACTCCAGATTTATGCAACCCTGGGTTATCTTGTTTAATGTTTCACACTGTTCATACCTGGGATTAACACTTAATCCTGGGTATTAAAAATGTGATGTTTTACACTATGGGGCCAGTTTTAGTAAACAGGGCAAAACAGCGCCGATGTGAGGGGAAATTTCTGTGGGTGATTTACTACTTCTCTGCGGTGCCTCCTCCAAGCAACTGTAACGAATCAGCTCATGGGAAATATGAATAATTAATCATAACTAGTTATGAATATTTTAGATCCGCTGTAGATATTTAGCTGACCTCTCAGGGTCAACTGTCTTGTCAATTCTAAGAACGTTAATTTCCTGGTTAAGGGAAATAACTTCCTTACTGTACAATTCTACAAAAGCTTGTAGCATAAATCTGCATGATTGTGACTCCAGTTATGAGCAAACAATGAACCACGTCAAGTGTGATACAAGTAAGGTTTTATTAACACTGGGTAATAAACCCAGTGATATGGTTGGTTGCCATGGAACCTGGGGCCTGTTCGGCTTCCTGGGGTGTTACGCATTTCGGGGGGAAGGGTCCATAGGTCCTCATATGGCTTGTTAACTGAGGGGTGTTACAGAGTATTTGTTAAATCTAGCTAACAAAATATATATTGTGTGTTTGATTGGTCCAGACGCTACACAACAATAATTCCATTTCAAGCGCAAAATAGTTTAAGACATGCTCTTTGGGCATTAAATAATGGCGCAAATGTCAGTAATTTGACGAGCGCAAACATTAGTAAAATGCATTGAGTGATTCATTTAAATACTCTCCTCCTATAAACTTTGCGTCTGAAAGGGAAACTGCATACAAATGCATATTCAATAAGGTCAGGCGCAAAAATAAAGCCCGGTTCAGACTACACGACTTTAGCCCGATTTTGCCATGATTTGCTTAACGTAGGGTGTCGTGGGGATTCGTAAATGACAATGGGCGTCGGGACGCAAGATTCCATCGTTTCAGCACGTGTAGTGTGTCATAGTGGACGACAACCGATTCCGCGTCTGCGATGCTACACGACAGAAAGACTAGCATGTTTAATGCCGGGTTCACACTACACGATATTTTTTGTCGGTCATGATAGTCACTGTGTCAGATTTTACGATTTTGACTCCTAAAATCTTGTCGTGGAAAAGAAACATGTCAGACTACACGTTGCTTTCCGACCATTCACCGAGCGATATCATCGAGAAGGCGGAACTAGCAAATGACTTCCGAAAACAAGAGTGTAAACATTGCTGAAGCGCTTCCGCTATAGTTCGCCAGCATTTTTCTTTCTTTGTTCTGTCGTGGTAGTCCCTCGATGACACATCATACAAGCAGGAGTACTGTTGCCACAGCTCCACGAACCTTTCCTCCATCTCATAATTCCACCTAGCAGCACCATCATCTCTCTTTCGTTTTGCCATGTTTGAAACCTGTGTATGAAAGCGCTTCTGTGCTGCTATTGGTCAACGTCACCAATGTGACAGAACTCGTTGTGGACGATGGGAAAAAAATAAACATGCTAGTCTTTCTGTCGTGAAGCATCGCCGACGCGGAATCGGTTGTCATCCACTATGACACACTACACGTGCTGAAACGATGGAATCTAACGTCCCGACGCCCATTGTCGTTTACGAATCCCCACGACACCCTACGTCAAGCAAATCGTGGCAAAATCGGGCTAAAATAGTGTAGTCTGAACCGGGCATAATTTTTTTCCCCGTCGTCCACGACGAGTTCTGTCACATTGGTGACGTTGACCAATAGCAGCACAGAAGCTCTTTCATACTCAGGTTTCAAACATGGCAAAACGAAAGAGAGATGATGGTGCTGCTAGGTGGAATTATGAGATAGAGGAAAGGTTCATGGAGCTGTGGCAACAGTACTCCTGCCTGTATGATGTGTCATCGAGGGACTACCACGACAGAACAAAGAAAGAAAAATGCTGGCGAACTATAGCGGAAGCGCTTCAGCAATGTTTACACTCTTGTTTTCGGAAGTCAGTCGCTAGTTCCGCCTTCTTGATGACATCACGCGCATCGTTAAAGACGGCACATGATGAATGGTTGGGAAGCAACGTGTAGCCTGACATGTTTCTTGTCCACGACAAGATTTTAGGAGTCAAAATCGTGAAATCTGACACAGTGACTATTGTGACCGACAAAAATATCGTATAGTCTGTGTTTCAGCGCTAATTCTTCACTGTGCATCTTTAGTAAATCCTGACAGTACTATTTTAACGCCAAAAGATGGTTCGCGCTGGCGCAAGCTGTTAGTAAAACTGGCCCTATATTTCTAAACCCTGAATTAACATTATTTGTCCATATTAGCAGTGTCAATAACCATGATTGGCTAAATAAAGCATATGACCATTTTAAATAATGGCTCATGCTTAATCTGTATTAATTCAAAACACCCATGATTTGAATTGAGAAGTGGCCACTTCATTTGAGACCTTCAAATTTCTTCTTTTTATCTTTTATCTTATTGACCTAGCAAGTTGTAGGAATTTAACCACGGAGTATGATCAGACTGGCTTGTGACGGTGTTTCTGACCAATGTGGAGTGTTTTGAATGAAATCTTTTTTTGCAGTAGTTTACTGCCTTTAGAGGTACTCCAGGTGTGCTATATCTGTATTATCGTATATTATAAATTGCTTGGGATAAAGCATTGGCTAAATAATTTCTAATGCCAAAAATGAGTGATATTAACTATATTGCATTTTCTAAAGGAGAAGAGTGTTACGAGTGGTTTTTAGGGTGTTCTAGGTGGTTGCTGATGGGGTGCCAACCAGTGGGGACATTTTCTGGAGCCAAATGCGATGTTGCAAATAGAATGTTATACTGCTAGAACTATATTGAATAATGTACTTGCATTACAAGAGAAGTATAAATACAGGGTATGCTATGAACTCTTGTTCATATATGCTACATGCTATACTCCTGTCTGAAATCAGCTGGGATATATCAAGAGGGAATGATTCAACTGCACACACACACACACAGGCTCAAGTCTTTTTGTGAGTTATGTAACAGCCTCTCTGCTGCTGTTTTAAGCAGGTTTGCCTCATGAAGTCACTAATGAACCTAAAGCCGCTCTAATCATCCTGCAGCTCAACTCCAGTCCTTTCACTGACTCGTTCACTCTTGATAACTTCATTGACTGCACCGACACATTGATTAATGAAGCAGAGATTGTACAGTATGTGGCTAACAGTCTCATGGGATACTGTAGTAGGCAGATGTGTACAGTAGAGACAGCATGCTGCTATCAGGAATACAAATTTGCTTTTATATTCAGGCATACAGCATCCTCTAAAAATTTTGAAACAAAGTGAAGTTTTAGACAATATCAGCATGAATCATTATTTCTTGCCATAAATGCATTATAGTAACTGTTAACAATTAACACTGTGAAGGATTTTTGACTACTTTTATTGTGCATTCATTTTTGGAGCTTGACCGTTTCTGGTTGCGGCATGCTTTCGTATGGAAACAAAATAGCTTGGACATTCTGCTAAATATCTATGTTAGAAATTTAGAAAGTATGATGATAAACTGTCAACTTAAATTTTTCCCTGCCAGCAAAACATGTCAGAAAATGTTGTCAATGGCGGGAAAGCATTGTCTGATAAATAACAGAAAATGTCATTATATATATATATAGAGAGAGAGAGAGAGAGAGAATTCAGTTTTTAAGTTAAAATATAGCAACTGTATTGACATTGACTTTAATTTGGTTTTGCATTTGGATATTTAGACATTATCAAAGGCTAGTTCATTGTGGATGATTTGTATATTTTAAAACAACAACAAAAAAAATGCTCTGTATTTTCGTATTTAACAATCATTTAATAATGATAACATTATAATGTTTGCAATAAACACTTAATAGCAGCATATTGTTCAAGCATGTGGTCTCTTTCACTTGAAATAAATTGTGCTTTTATCAGAAAAAATTATGTAAAAATGCCAGTTAAAACCTGTTAACTTAGTTTCCCCATATTTTTGTTACCTTTTACTGTACAATATTGTAATAAGTTTGTTAGAAATAAATGTATGAATTACCTTTAATATAATTTAAAAATACCAATAGTTTTACATGAAAAAAACAATTTTAACCACCTTATAATTTGTGGTAAATATACATTTGAATATATTTCATATAAATGTTTTGTTATACATGTGTTACATAAAATGGGGTGTTTTGTGTTAAGGAAATTTTAAGGCCATTTTTTGTTCATTTTTTATGGCAGTGCAGTGTTTAATCCTTTGCTGTAGACTTATTAATGATTTTAAACAAATGTAATTTCACCAAATGTTAAAGCATTACAAGGTATAATTAATGCATTAAAACTACTTTTATATTAAGGCTTTCAGTGAATGTTTCATTGTACATAATAAAACCGCATAATACAATATATGTTTTGTTCCCCACAATAAAAACTACGGCGCTTTCATCATAAAACGAATCATTTAAATACCATCTTACTATGACATATTATAGGGAAATATATAGAGTGATAAATTATATTTATATGCATTTTATGTAAGTAGTCTGTTATACTGTTTAAAGTTCTCATTGATTTGCACTACAAGCTATCAAATTTCTTCTTACTTTATGGCCATATAAATATCAGGAACTGCACCAAATTGCATATTTGTGCTCTATGTGGGCATCTAAACTAAATGTTTATGTTGTCAAATTGGGCTCCAGACAGAAGGAGTGTTTACAGAGGTGATACCTGGCCTTGCGGTGGGCGTCGATCTCATCTCCTGGCGTGGGGTTGAGTGTGGCATTGAGCTCTGCATGCTCGTCGTGCTGCTGCAGGTAGAAGGCCTTCAGAGGGTTCATGGTCCAATCAAACAGAGGGTCGTACAGCAACACCTGCACACAAAAAACAAAAGCAGCATTCATTTCCTGACAAATGACAGCTGTCCGGTATGAGATGTGAAGAATGAACTCATGTTTACCTCAACAATGGTCAACAGGGCTTCCTGAGAACTCCTCATGACTTCCATCGTCTTCTCACAACATCTACATGATGTAATAATACATGTAATCGTTCAGTTCCTTTCACAGATACTTGTAATTATAATGTCACAAAACATCTAGAGTCCCATTTTGGTGTTTTCACACTTGAGTCATTTCAGTAGCCTGTTACACGAAGCTAGATGAACAAACTCAAAAGTTTCAGGGTGCTTTCACACTAGCACTTTTGGTGCGCACCCGGGTTCGATTGACGTCAGAGTTCGGTTCGTTTGGATGATGTGAACGCTGTCTTCCGAACTCGGGTGTGCACCCGCGAACCGTACCAGAGTCCGCTTAAAAAGGGTGGTCTGGGGTACGGTTCAAGTGAACTCTGGTACAGTTCGCTGCTGATGTGAACGCAATCGTACCAAATCACGGAAGTGAACCGCTATTAATGACGTATTATTTGATAAAAATGTGTGTTTGTGTGTGGATAAGGCTTTTGAAGAACGTTTGGTAACACAAATTATTTTTGTATAATGCATTATAAAGGTATTCATAATGAATGTTGTAATGCACTATATATTTTCATAAATGTAACCAAAGTTGAAATGCATTATGATATTTGCAGGTTTGTTTGTCATGTGTTTGAATGCATTCTATTTTCGAAAGCTATAACAATGCATAGATGATTATTAGAATGTACTGGTTACAATAATTCATGAGATCATACAATGCATTACAAGGTATAATTAATGCATTAAAACTACTTTTATATTAAGGCTTTCAGTGAATGTTTCATTGTACATAATAAAACCGCATAATACAATATATGTTTTGTTCCCCACAATAAAAACTACGGCGCTTTCATCCTCACTCACTTTCTTGACACGCTGCAAGCAGAGAGCTGTATATCTCATTTCTGTTCACCTTTAGTGTACTTTAGAGCATTTGCAGTACATTCGTAAGGCAGACGTAAGTGCCGTTATGTACTGAAGCTTTGGAAACAAAACCAAAGGTTCAAAAACATAAATTTAAAATTGAAGAGAGCCTTGCAACGCATTTTGCCATCTTCTCCTGCGCCATCGTTACTAAGCAAAGGGGTAAACAGCTGCTGGCTTGATGACGCAAACGAACCGCGGTTCGGACCCAAATAATATAATGTGAACACAGTCCAGCAGGGGGAGGGGGGAGCAATCGAACTCGGGTTCGGACCAAGCAATCGAACCAAGTGTGAAAGCACCCTAGAGTTGCCAAAAGCAAACAAATCCAACCTGGTTTAGATCAGGTTCAGTGAGCTCAGAAAGCTTGTTATAAACATTCTCTGTGGACTCGGGGTTCGTACACACTTTTACCACTACATTTCCATGACTTCTGAGACTATATTCATGACCTAATGTTCCATTCTTTTACAATAAAAATAAAAATCTCAGCATGTCATTTTGAAAATATTTGACTATTAATGCTACTAGTTTGCTAGTTTAAGCGAATTTGTTTTATACGCACGATATAAAGGGGAAGTCGTGGCCTAATGGTTAGAGAGTCGGACTTGTAACCCAAAGGTTGCGAGTTCGAGTCTCAGGTCCGGCAGGTATTGTAGGTGGGGGGAGTGAATGAACAGCGCTCTCGGTGTGTGTGTGTTCAGTGCTGTGTGTGTGCACTTTGGATGGGTAAATGCAGAGCACTAATTCCGAGTATGGGTCACCATACTTGGCCACATGTCACTTCACTTCACGTGAGAGTACCGTAAGTCTTAAAAAGACTTACATTTTTGTGACAATGCAACAGCGACCCGATTACGCGAGTGGAAGTCCTGTATCGCAGCGTGCGACAAGAGAGTCAAAGAGAGAAGACACGGTTCAGCTGAATCACTCACCCGGTTTTCAAATGACTGATTTAATCAGAGTTTGGGTGGATTTATTTACTCATCGAACCTACATGCTATATTGAATAAATGTTGACCGGAACGTCCCTCATTTTAAAAAGTCAAAAGTTGCGGGAATGAGTAAAACTATGCGATATACAGTGGGTACGGAAAGTATTCAGACCCCTTTAAATTTTTCAATCATGCAGCGAAATTCAGGACCTGCTTAAAACACAATTCTATTATACAAATATTTGTGAAATAGATTCCCATGACTTTTCCAAAACTTTCTGGGTTTACCTTGCCAGGTCAAGAAAATATGATCATATTACCCCCAATTTTACAGTCTCTGCACTGGCTACCTATTAAGTTCCGTATCAGTTTTTTTGGAAATTGCCGTTTTAAAATTCCATGACTTTTCCAGGTTTTTCATGACCGTACGAACTATGTTTATATGTACACATTACCGTTCAAAAGTTTGGGATCAGAACAACTTTATGTTTTTTAAAGGAGTTTCTTCTGCTCATCAAGGCTGCATTTATTTGATAAAAAATACAGGAAAAAATGTAATAGTGAAATATTATTACAATGTAAAATAACGTTTTTCTATTTTAATATACATTAAAATCGAATTTATTCCTGTGATGCATTACTCCAGTCTTCAGTGTCACATGATCTTCAGAAATCATTCTAATATGCTGATTTATTATCAGTGCTGGAAACAGTTTTCAGGATTCTTTGATGAATAAAAAGTTAAGAAGAGCATTTATTTAAAATAGAAATCTTTTCTAACAATATACACTATCGTTCAACAGTTTGGGGTCAGTACGTTTTTATTCTTTCTTTTTTTTTTTTTTTGAAAGAAATTAAAACGTTTATTCAGCAAGGATGTGTTAAATTGATAAGTGATAGCAAAGATTTATATCGTTAGAAAAGATTTATATTTTGAATAAATGCTGTTCTTTTTAACTTTTTATTCATCAAATAATTATGAAAAAAGTATTGCAGTTTCCAAAAAAATATTTGGCAGCACAACTGTTGCCAACATTGATAATTCTAATAATAAATCAGCATATTAGAATGATTTCTGAAGATCATGTGACACTTTATACTGGAGTAATTGCTGATGGAAATTCAGCTTTGCATCACAGAAATAAATTATATTTGAAAGGATATTAAAATAGAAACCAATATTTTATATTGTAACAACATTTAGCAAGATTACAGTTTTTTTCTGTATTTTTTATCAAATAAATGCAGCCTTGATGAGCAGAAGAGACTTCTTTAAAAAACATTACAAGTCTTACTGATCCCAAACTTTTGAATGGCAGTGTATATATTTATATTAATTTAAATGAAAGGTCAAATATTAAATGTCAAAATATAATTGCTCATGTGTAATGCATTAAGGATATTTGCTTTCCAATCTCTTACCCAGAAGTGTAGTGTAAGATACAGTACCATGGTGGTAAACACAGCTAAAAACTTACCCATATTCTTTCTTTTTTTTTTCTCAAACTAAACTCCAACTTACCTGTGTAGCCACTGAAATCTTCTTCGTGAAATAGGCTACAGGGGTATAAATAAACATCAATAAACTCAAGTGTGAAAACACCCAGGGTCGCCTCCTGAAGACATACCTCCTGAAGACGCCCTCCACCCCTGTGATGCCCATCCCATCCACAATGTCTCGAGACAGTCTGAAGGGAACCGTCTCAGGGGTGGGCAAGATTTTGCCCTGCTCAAACGCAACACCTGTGTGGAAAATGAAAACATGAAGAGAGCGAAGATCTTCTGCAACGCTAGTTTTCTGTATACACATACCCAGGTCTATGTGGACCAGTTCTGCAGTCTGTTCATCGATAAGAATGTTCTGAATGTGCCGATCGCCCAGGCCAACGATGTAACCAACTGTCAGACACAAACATGTCACTATTTTAACATCATTTCAAATTAGTTGCCCATGAAATAATACTGTTAAAAGTGAAAATGTGAGGCCAGATGCAGCTCTTTTCTGTCCAACCGAGATGACACGTCACCTATAATAATATGGTTAAATAATAGTGTTATGTGTGTGTACCAATAGAAGAGGTGGCCACACTGCGGGTGTACGCTAGCTGTCTCTCCAGCCACACCGCAGGGTCCAGAAAGCGCTCCATGCAGAAGTATCGGAATACTGGCCGGAAGTTCTGACACACCTCAGTGAAAGCCTGCAGTTTGTCATCAAATTCCAGCCGTTGAGCCTCCTACACCATTACAACGAGAGCATAATGAGGCAAAATGCTTTATAAATAATCTTTTTGTAGAGACAATCTCTAATACTCAAGTCACATTTATTTATATCGCACATTTTGTTTGAAAGCAACTTCATATTAATAAGCAGATAACAGTGTTAATAGGGCCTTTCGCACCGCTTTAGTTCCAGAACTAAATGTACAGTACTAAAGTACTGGGACGATTTTGCGCAAACTATTTTCCAGTACTATTTAAAGGGTTGCATTCGCACCGACAGTGTGTACTAAGAAGTGACGCAAGCTGGTCGACAGCGATGTCATTTGTGCACGGCGTTCCACAACACAAACAAAGAAGAACAACATTAACAACAGGAGGATGGAGGACGCTGTGATCGGAGCTGTGTTTTTGTTGTGTCTCGCGGGTTTCACAATAATGGACATGTAAAGTTGACGTATACGTAAAGCGATTGAAAGAACGGAAAGGAGGACTAAGAATCTCCAACGACAACTGGCAGTGCTACATTTGCTACAAATGCCTGCACTTCAGCGTCCGTCCGTCTATCGCTGTTCTCCATACTAGCAAAACAAGTTGACACAATGTTTACAGTATGTTTACACGGCGTTTTAAATCATGGCGGGTCAGGGCGTTTTCGTACGCGTTTGGCCAATCAATGTCTACTTGCGTCACGATTAGTACCAGACCCTGCTCCGGAGTAGGAGCTAATTTGGTTCTCGAAAAAGGCAGTCCGGTACTAAAATCGCACCCAGTTCCCGCGGTGAGAAAACGCCAAAAAGTGGGTCGTTCCACAATTAGTTCTGGTACTATGAAAAGGTTCCCGCAGTGCGAAAGGCCCTAATGTTGCAAAATGAATCAATTTTGATTAAAACATTTTCAGTCAAAAACGGGAAACTTTTTATGCATTTTGGGGACTGAAAACGCATATTTTTGAAAACGGGTTTCAAAGTGCATGTTTTTGAAAACGCCACCATTATGGTTTCCATGTAAACACCCAATACAGGAATCTTTGAAAACGGTGACGTTATGCGCGTGCGTAGTACATGTCAGGTATGTAGACATGCGCAGTACGTGTCGATTTTAAAGGCAAGCGCGAACAAACGTACACAACAATGGCGGAGTACATGGTACTATTGTTGCTGCTCAAGAGTTTGCTAACGCTTCTTCAGCAAAGTGTGGATTTATTCCACCAATATTACAACCAACAGCGGAGACGCATCATATACAACATATAACCGTCACTTCCGTACAGGTACTGTTTACTAACAAGGTGACAGCGCCAACTACTGGCCTGGCATACGTAGTACAGCGTTTTTGTCCGTTTCCGCGGATATGTGTAAATGCGAATCGTTTTGAAAACGTTGTCGTGTATACGTGAAACTTTTTCAAAAACGCAAGGGAAAAACTTTTCCATTTTTGACTACACCGTTGTCGTGTAAACGTAGCCTAAGAAACAAGCTGTAAAGCAGCTCTACAGAAGACAACAGTGTACAGTGTTAATAGGGCCTTTCGCACCGCTTTAGTTCCAGAACTAAATGTACAGTACTAAAGTACTGGGACGATTTTGCGCAAACTATTTTCCAGTACTATTTAAAGGGTTGCATTCGCACCGACAGTGTGTACTAAGAAGTGACGCAAGCTGGTCGACAGCGATGTCATTTGTGCACGGCGTTCCACAACACAAACAAAGAAGAACAACGTTAACAACAGGAGGATGGAGGACGCTGTGATCGGAGCTGTGTTTTTGTTGTGTCTCGTGGGTTTCACAATAATGGACATGTAAAGTTGACGTATACGTAAAGCGATTGAAAGAACGGAAAGGAGGACTAAGAATCTCCAACGACAACTGGCAGTGCTACATTTGCTACAAATGCCTGCACTTCAGCGTCCGTCCGTCTATCGCTGTTCTCCATACTAGCAAAACAAGTTGACACAATGTTTACAGTATGTTTACACGGCGTTTTAAATCATGGCGGGTCAGGGCGTTTTCGTACGCGTTTGGCCAATCAATGTCTACTTGCGTCACGATTAGTACCAGACCCTGCTCCGGAGTAGGAGCTAATTTGGTTCTCGAAAAAGGCAGTCCGGTACTAAAATCGCACCCAGTTCCCGCGGTGAGAAAACGCCAAAAAGTGGGTCGTTCCACAATTAGTTCTGGTACTATGAAAAGGTTCCCGCAGTGCGAAAGGCCCTAATGTTGCAAAATGAATCAATTTTGATTAAAACATTTTCAGTCAAAAACGGGAAACTTTTTATGCATTTTGGGGACTGAAAACGCATATTTTTGAAAACGGGTTTCAAAGTGCATGTTTTTGAAAACGCCACCATTATGGTTTCCATGTAAACACCCAATACAGGAATCTTTGAAAACGGTGACGTTATGCGCGTGCGTAGTACATGTCAGGTATGTAGACATGCGCAGTACGTGTCGATTTTAAAGGCAAGCGCGAACAAACGTACACAACAATGGCGGAGTACATGGTACTATTGTTGCTGCTCAAGAGTTTGCTAACGCTTCTTCAGCAAAGTGTGGATTTATTCCACCAATATTACAACCAACAGCGGAGACGCATCATATACAACATATAACCGTCACTTCCGTACAGGTACTGTTTACTAACAAGGTGACAGCGCCAACTACTGGCCTGGCATACGTAGTACAGCGTTTTTGTCCGTTTCCGCGGATATGTGTAAATGCGAATCGTTATGAAAACGTTGTCGTGTATACGTGAAACTTTTTCAAAAACGCAAGGGAAAAACTTTTCCATTTTTGACTACACCGTTGTCGTGTAAACGTAGCCTAAGAAACAAGCTGTAAAGCAGCTCTACAGAAGACAACAGTGTCATTAATCAGCTAATTAATTTAGTTGAACATTAATTCAATTCAGTTCAATAAAAGTGTTGCACAGTTCACCGACTATAAACTAGTATTCTTCTACTCTTCTACTCAACAGTTTAGGACTATTAATAGTATAATGCCTATAAGAATGAATGAGCTGATAAAATTCAGTACCATCATTTTCTTGCGACAGGACATATTGGGCCAGTCCTGTGTGCGGAAGCGTTTGTGCGCCCCCTTCTGTGGGTCGACCAGGAACTCTCCAATGGGCACAGTGCCAGAACACCACTCCAAAACACCACTGCGCTGGGAAAACGGCACCACCTGGTACAAACACACAAAGCAGTGCTGATGAAGGCATGTTTACATATATATAATAGCTGTGGTCGAAAAAAACGTATATTGGGCATTTGACCTAGTAAGCAGACATACAGTGCCAAAAAAATGAACTAGTAGTATTTAACAAGTAACTTCATGAAAACATCTGCTGGATACAGTTGGTACATATTTTAGTTCATAAAAACATGAGCTAGGATAGTGTATTAACGGTGTCTTTACTTTGTACCGGCGGATGTTGAGTTTCCTTTTGCGAGTTTCTGCGTTGCGCTGCAGGAGGGTGGAGCACATGTGAAAGACCTGCTGCATGACTGCGTCCTGCCTCAGATCATCCTGACCCTGTGCCACGACACACAAACTCACTTCAGATTCAATCATTAAAGACTGACCAACAGACCGGCATACCTTTCAAACGAGTCTGATTAAGATGTGGCAGCAATTAAGCGAAACAAAGCATGAAAAGCAGACCTTGACTAGCTGTCTCCTGCTCTTGCCGTCTGAACCCACACAGTCGATTATCTTGGGTAGGTTGACGCCTCCAGCCAAGTGAAAGTGAGGTTTGAACGAGCTGATAGTCACAAGGTCTTCATATCTGCCTGATGGATCCACCTGAAAGAAATGCCAACATATACAACAAGCTTAAGTAAGATCACAAAGTGCACAGGCATCTCTGATGAAAAAAGAAACATTTGTCACCTTGATGTCCATGGTGGGAATGATGACATCATCAAGGTCTTTGATTTGCATGATGGGTTGTTCAGGAGGAATAGGTATGGCTTCTGCAAAGACAGTATATCAGTCAGTACATAACAGTCTGACATTTCCGTACCCATTTTTTTTTAAACAGCTCACACTGAAAAGCACAATACAGTAAACATTGATAGGAAGCATACAACAATATTGCTAATTACTAATAAAGCCAATTAGCTGGTGCTTTTATCCAAATCGACTTAACGTACAAGTATTACAAATTCAGCGAGTGTAAAACAGATCTTATAAAATTATTATTGTTCCAGTCATATGGGTTTGGGATAACTCAAAATCAACTCAACATACACCACTCCTATTAGTTATCAATAAACACTGGATTTATTGATTAAACATATTGGCACACCAAGTTCCTTAATCATAAACCGAACAGACTCACTCACTCTTTTCAGTTTTATGGCGACTGGCGTCCATGTATGCCAAAGTGATGTAGGCATTGCAAAGCATCTCAATGTCTTTAACCATCTTGGCTCTCTTTTTACGAACCACGTCAATAATCTTACGAGCGACATTAGCCCGTTCCTACATATCAACACATTTAATCAAGGTTAATCGTTTAGTAAAAAAAAAAAGGTTATAAGGACACAATGCTACTGCAAAATGTCTGGATTTCTACATAGCATTTAGACATCATGACTAGACATGAAAAACTCCAAGAGCAGTGCAGAAATGACTTTTCATAACATATGTTTAGTTGTAAATGACAAGACTATTACAAATATAAATATCAGAAATCAAGTTCTTGGATTTTAAACCTGAAGCTATGTTATTGTATTTTTGGTAGAACTAATTAAGTTTAATTTATATTTATTTCACAGCTAGATTTCAGAGTCCTCATACCAGGTCCAGAGGTGAAGGTTGGCGCGCAGTGCTCTTGGACGAACGACTGCGAGAGAAAGTCTCATCCTTGTTGGCGTTGACCAGTGCCAAGATGATGAAGAGAGTGTGGTGGGGGTGGTCAAGAGATGACTGACAGATCAGCTGATGACAGAACACATTTCAGTTGTGAGTGTATATTATAGATTGCACTTGTGAGTAGGGTTGGGTACCGAAACCTGGTACCAATATGGCACCGGTACCTATGTAACCGGTATGTACTAGAACCGAATCAGACCGCAGATTTTGGTGCCTCATTTCGGTGCCATGCCTGAGCGATCGATTTAAATATTTGTCCTACGGTTCTCCGAAACGGACGCAAGAAGCATCTTCACCGGCACCGCACGTGAAAAATAATTTCCCAACTGAAAAAAATGCACGTAAACTCAAGTCGGAAAGCCCTAATAATGCGAATCCAACAAATCTTTGTAGTAGCGAGAGTGTCCATGTTGTTTTTTCACATTCTGACTTAAAAGCACAACTCGGGAAATGAGAGCATCCGAGGAGCACGTGAATGCAGTAATTACACTTGCTCTGATGGCAGCAGGTAGCCTTCTGTTAACTAAGCTAAACATGCTTAAATTAAAATGCCTAAAGCTAAACTTCCCCTGTATTCACATTTCTAAACCTGCTGTCCAACAAAAGAGAACATTATAACCTTTTAACTCCACAACACCAGTCAAATGCTTCCTTTTGTGATCTGATGAGGCTTCTTGTCACAGAATGAGGCAGAAAATATGTTCAATAGGCTACTTTAAAAAGAATACGTCGATTAGCAATGGATTATAAATATACTTAATTATGAAAATACCAGAGATGGCTTGAATAACACAGATAAACTATATTGTCGCAGTCGAGTGTTTATTGTCTGTGAGTAAACAGAACATATAAACATTTTGAATGATAAAACAGTTACAGCTATAATAGCCATGCCTTTGTCCATATAAGGGATTTCCTGGAGGGTCATGAGTTCCGCTACTTCCGTGATTGGATATGTGGATTCTCTGAGCGAGGGCACCCTCTGGCGTCCAGTATGAATGAAACCGACATCATGTGTTTATATTGCTAATGGCCAATCCAAAATTTGGGGGGAAATTTTTATTTATTTATATTTTAATAAGTATCGGTTCAGGCACCGTTTAGGCGCCGGAACCGTTTTAAAAGTATCGATTTGGCACCGGTATCGAAAAAAAACCAAACGATACCCAACCCTACTTGTGAGGTTAAAATTCAGAACAAAAACTAAGGAGGAGATGAACGTTACCTCATTTAGAACGTGATGGAATCCCACGTCTTGTGAGGTCACAGAGCTGGACACTTTGGTGCCCATTCGAGCCGCTAACTGATACATCAGGGGCAGGAACTTATATGATGGGATTTGCTTTACACCACGCTAATATGAACACACACAAATTATAACACAGAATTGAAAGCTGTGTGACCCACAAAAGTGCACAGTGCAATCCATAGGTGACTCTAGTCAACTGCAATTTCTCTTAAACTCACCATGAAATCAAAAGGTTATGCATTTATTTTTTCAAATGCGCCCTCGTAATCGTTCATTGAAAACATAAATGCTATAACATCTCTTCTGTGATGACGTGTATCGGGTAATACGTTTATTGGACAATAACAAGCAACTTTTACATGACTATTCATTCCATTTTTTAGAAAAAATTTTCAAATGTATCTAATATGATACATCAGGCTTTTGATGAACATTTATTTGTACATCTCTCAGTCATCATTGTATTATTATTTCTTGTATATTTTCCCCACCACAATAAAAACTAGAGCTTCGATCATAAAATTAAATATCGTTTAAATATCTTCCTACCAAGACAATATTATTGGGAGATATAGAGTGATATTGAAATGCATTTTATGTAGATGGTCTGTTGTACCATTATAAAACTGATTCACATTACAAGCTATTAGAATTTCATATTATCTTTGGCCATTTTAATATCAGCAACTGCATCAAATTGCATATTTTGTTCATTTTGGGCCTCTGAATAGGTTTCTTTCTTCTCCTTGAGTATAAGCTCCATATTCTCTTATATGAGTCACAAAAGCCTGATAAATCAAATATGATACTCAAAATAAGCACAAATGCAATTTTTTTTTTTAAATCTAAAATTCAATAAATTACAATTTTCTGATTTCATATGTCAGGCTTTACAGGCTTAAGTAACAAAATAGTAAGAAACTGCAACACAATGGCTTTTTTTGTACATGGCAGATGCTGTTATACCTTCATCATTTCATTTACAGCTTTGACATCAGCATTCTCCAGCCAGAGGGAGGCCAGTCTGAAGACCCAGGTGTCATGTTCCTCTCCCAGTTCCAGGCACTGAATGTAGTTCTCCACAGCTTTGAGGAGGAAGCGGTTGCGGTCGGCCTGCAGGTTAGCCAGTGCCTTGACATCCAGCTCTAGTTCCCTCTGAACTTTCACTGTGTATCTGCACATGAAGAAAAGAAACGTGTATTTTTCATAATATATTATATATACATCATATAGTATTTGTATCTCTGTAACTGGTGAGCAAAAGATTCCTAAGACAGATACGTTTCATGCTGACCTGTTGTTGCTGACCTTCCTCTCCCGCATCAGGTCAACTTCCTCCTTGGCCTTTTCCAGAAGAGCGTGCTTGTTCTCAAACTCCGATGACTTCATGTAGTTTTCGATGCTCTGATACTGTGCATCAGAGAAACGGGCAAGCGAAAAGAAAGCCTGGGTCTTCTGGCTCTGAAGTTTAGCGTTTGAATCGCCACAGTGGTCCTCAATGACCTCCACAGCCTGTCCAACAACAACAACAGATCATTAGCCCAAACACAAAGACCATGACCATGCCTCTTTGATATAGGGCTGCATTTTTCATATTCAGAATTGTGATTGTGGTTTAAATGTGATTTTAAAAAGTCTTCACTTTTGTTGATAATTAAACCACAGCTTTTTGGATTTAGATATTCACCATATTAGCCACATCAACTAATTGTGCAGCGGCCCTATTTTGATATTTACCACTGTACAGAATTATGATGATATTCATACAGAATATGCTTTATAACATGATAAATGCAATGACACCAGAAAGGAAACTTCAGAAATAAAGACTTATTTATATGTCACTGAAATCATTTTATTTCCTTGTATAATGCCTTGCAGAATATGTGAGCGCTTTACCCTCTCCAGATATTTCTCCAGTATGACAGCAGGGCTCTCCAGACAGGATTCAGCCAGCCAGCTTCCACACAGTCTCAAGCACTCCGAATACACCGGCACCACAGCAGGGTTCACACACACCTGCTCACACGAAGAGTTATTCAGCAGATACGCGAGAATTTGGAACACCTGCCATTATGTACACCTGTGAAATGGACTATGGATGCCACCTTAACCACACTTCAACTCACCAGATCCTCTAGTTTATGGATCATCTGTTTGAGCAGCCCCAGAGCCAGCCCGTGTTCCTTCTTCACCCAGAACACCTGCGCCTCCTCCAGCTGCCAGGCCCATGAGCTGCTGCCACCACCACCGCCAGCTACCAGGCTGTGCCGCTTCATGTGGAAAACTGCCCGCTCTGCCAGCTAGAAGAATGTATGCAGAAAATAAATGGCTTTGCATTATATAATGAAATACCAAAAAAGGGGGGTTTATTTCATGACATATAACACAAAAACCTCTTTCAAGCTAAATAAGTCTGTTAGGTCTTAAAGCAGTCATGAAATGGAAAATAAGAATGTCCTTGATATTTTCACCTATAAGAGGTCAGACGCGCATACGAACATAGAGAGACCTGCGTGTGGCCTGCAGAACGAGCCAGCTTGCACAGCTCCATCAGGTGGGAGGAATAGGAAGAAATCAGGTAGTTCTTCCGGTCTGGATCTGTCTCTGAGGAAATCAATGTTTCTTGTATGGAGGAGCGCAGGGCTAAGACGGGCTCGACCAGGCTGAAATCACTGTCAGTTAAGAGATCGGAGTGCTGTTGCCACTTCCTGTACACTTCATTAAGGCTGGAGTCAGTTACAGGCCTGTCAAGAACAGAAACATAATATTATTAATGTGTAGGTCTATGATATTACACTCATTTATTGTGTCTTGTTCTATAATAATAATAATAATAATCAAACATTTAAAAAGGTTTTCATGAGAACAATAAAATAAACAATTTCAATTAAAGGGTAATTGAGCCATAAATCATTTGAGGCAATTTGTTTTTTGATGTAACAGCTATATATGTGTGATAATACGTTATTTGGGAAAAATTAAGGGGCAACGCACTTCCAGATCTTACAAAAAGCCTTTAAGTTCTAGCATGAAAAAATGAGTTTGTTTTAAATTTGTAAGAACTTGGCACCAGCTTTTTGTAAACTAATTTTTAAAGGTTTTTTATGTCTAAATATCCAGAGCTATTTGTTAGCATTTCCATTCATCTCAATAAAAGTAGCTAGACTGACTCAGGTCCAGTGTTATTTTAGTATAATTGATACACTATTAGAGTTTTTGTTAATATTTTTAATTAGATATTATTTTTATATTTTATTTTAATTTTAAAGTTTTAGTAATTTGTGTATTTTTGTCATTTTTATGAGGTGTTTTTTATGTCTATAGTTTTTATAGTTTATCAAGGTTTATGTAGTTTTAGTTATTTTAGCAATTCTCTTTACTTTGGGATTAGTCATTCAGCTATGTCCCGATTACAATTAGTCCAAAATGCGGCAGCAATACTTTTAACGGGTGGTTGCCGGTGCACTACAGAGTGGATTTAAAATGTTTACTTTTTGTTTATAAATCATTAAAGGGGTCATATGATGCGATTTCAAGTTTTCCTTTCTCTTTGGAGTGTTACAAGCTGATTGTGCATAGATAAGATCCCTGAAGTTGCAAAGACTAAAGTCTCAAAACCAAAGAGATATTCTTTATCAAAGTTAAGACTCTGCCACGCCCCCCTAAAATGGCTCGTTCTAACACGCCCCCACATATCTACCTCACTATGTGGAAATATTAGCATAATGCCGCCCAAATGGTCACGCAAAGAAAGAAGGTGTGGTTTCAGTAACCGCAGTTAGTGTTGAAGCAGCATGTCAGGGAGACGCTGTGTGTTTCTAGGCGATAGCAAAAGCACTTTATTTGGCCTTCCGAAAGTAGATGCATTTAGGAATCTTTAAGATTACTTACAACAGAACAGCAATGCATTTTATGGACGACCGTTTCGTGAACCTAGGAGAGGAGGTCATTCTGACTCTATGACAATCTGGCGCTTCTGAATCAACTACTGTTTTGTTATTAGTTTAAGTATTTATAATATAATATATAAATACAGCTATAATATAATATAGCTATAGGTCAATATGTTTGACGTTCAGTTTACATCAAATCAACATTGTGTCAAGTTTTTGACATCAGCTTGATTTACATATTTGAACTGTTTTTTGATGTCAATTTGAAGTATTTTGAACAATTATTTGTTAAAGCAGCACTATGTAACTTTTTCTGTGTTCAACGTGTATGTAATGAGCGAGTACATCATGAATTAATCTTCCAAACCGCGTTTTTGTCTTATTCCGATTCACTACGGTACACTTATAATAAGTACTTATATTT